AAAAAAAAAAAAAACATGAACCTTTGAACAGCAGAAAAAATTCCAATATTCAAGTTAAAAAAAACAGTTTTTTTAAATTTATTAACATTTAATTCCATCAATTTTGCCGGAGAAACTGGTAGATCCTAATTTTTCGGTCTGCCACGATCAGTCTGTAGTGCTTGAAAAAGTTATTAAAAGTAGGAAGCAACTAGTAAGGTAGACTAAAAATTATGTTCACTATAAAATGTCAGCTAAATATCGTTGAACACACAAATGGTCACCGATATTAATATAAAAAATTAACTGTTCATCTTTGCTAATTCGTTGTATTTTCAGCGGAATATACCTGAAATATATGTATTTAAATTAATATAAAAAAATCCGTGTAGCCGTTTAAAAGAACTTGATTACTGGTCTTAACTATCATTCTAAAATTAAAGTTTTATGGACGTAGTTAGGCACATTACTTACTTATTATCCAGCAAAAAATTGTACTGTACGTCCGCAAACTGTAGCCTTTCTAAACGTGAAGCTGGAGGACGAAACAAAAAGTTGATTTGGCAAACATTAATTTGAGCTTTTTCCAGTTGGTTACCTTTATAAAACAGATTCAGAAGACCGTACTGAAACTATCAATTATCTAATGTATATTAATACATATAGATAAGAAAATTTTGTTAAACATAATTACGAGTGGTCATATTTTGTTAAGCAGATAGATACCGTTTAGGTGTGAGGGATTGTACCTACTCAAAGATTTCAGAAAACTAAAAAGAAACTTACACTATCTGAACTAATTAACAGCACGTCAACAATTCGTTTTACCTGAACGTTCTTCTTTAAAAATGTTATTAGGTCGGTTGTTTGACGTTGATTTTTTTGGTCAAATGTTTCACCTAAAATATAAAAAAAATTGATAGACAAGTTTTAGCGGCAGTGTGTTTTGTAAGTGTAAAATCATTGTAAGACATAACGGCCGTCAGTCGCTCGTTAATGCCATTGTACTGACAAGTTAGGTATTTTAACAAAAACAGAAAAAGTTTTTTGAAGACATTCATCAGTAACATCATCAGAGAGCAGAATATTTTATAAGCACTTGGATACGGCTAGTTTGACTAAGATGACCATTAGGTACAGCCTAGTAGATACTTTTTGTCGACTGTATTGTAACAGGTACATAGGTGCCATTTGGTACAGATTTTTCTCGGCTAAGGATGTTTAGTGGGTCTGTTGCGGCAAATTTACAGTTGTTAGTGTCATCAGATTTAATTGCTTTAAATGTTCTTAGGTCATGGTCTGGCGATACTGCCACTATGTGGCATTCCTCAGACGCCTTAAAAAACAACATCAGAGCCGGTAGTCTAACCAAAAAAAAAAGCTGCTTACAGAATTATTAATACAATAAGTGACGTAGAGGCAAATTTGAGGAAAAATTCTATGGGATATAAACATCTATTTCTCCAAACACCTGCTATAATTTCCAGCTATATAACTTGCGCTGAACAGCCTCACTCATTAAGAATTTCTTTCTCAGTATTTAGAAATGTTTACCTATCTACTTTAATTATTATTACTTTTTAACCAAATGGCTTATGCAACAAACCGTTAATCTCAGTGGCAACCATCGCACAAAGCATCTCGTTTGAAAATACGGATAGTCGTCAAGGTATAGACTCTCGCGGATATCCATAGTCAAATTACACTGTGCAGCTAGAGCTGCGAATGTTTTAAACGTCTATAATACTCACACCAGTAGCGTTTAAAGAGTCAAAAATATCTTATCCCACATAAAAAGTATGAACAAATGGCAGAAGTTAGATAGAAATTAACCTCAGTTCTTCGGCTCGTTAGCAGATTTCTGAGTAAACATATTCGGTAGTCTTCAAAACTAAACACAGGTTGCTCATTCTTTTCCTGCAAAGCTTGCGCTCTTTATATCACTAAATACGATACTGCTTCAAGATGAACAATTAGAATATTACTGTTCATGACTAAATTTCTTCACGAAACCTAGAGAAACAAATGGTCTTCAAAAACCAACACCTCCAATAGTACTTTTCCATCGTTTTTACTCATCCGTTTTGATTACAGTGGAGTTGCTATAAGCTGTTTGGCTACAACTGCCTATTATAAAAATATAGCTCCCTTCGTAGTTTGTCAACAAACTGCTTTGCGGCACAGCGTTAAAAGCACTTTATCTAGATGGAGAAAAACAAGAGGCGTTCAAATGCTTAAAGTTTTCTATCTGAGGCTTCATTGTTTTTTTGCGACGAGCGGATGAAGTAAAACTAAGTAAAGAGTATTTTTTGTATCTAGTGCAACAGAAGAGTTTGCACAACACAGATAACCAAGAAATCCAAAGTAGTTTCTCTCAAAAAAAAAAAAGGCAAGGCAAGTCGAGTTATCTGGAAATTCGTTTGCGCATATCGTATAATGTAAGATTACTCTTTAACAATCTTGTATCTGCTACCTCAGCAATAAAGAAGAGAACGCGCGCTATGGCATTTTTTGGTTTTCTGAAAAACAGTACTGGCCAAAGTGCTCTTAGCATTTTTATAATAAGAAGATTCTTGTGACCGAATTATTTTTGCATCAGCAGAAAGACCCAATTTGTCATAAGCGTCTAATAAACAAGTAGTGAATGGAAGGGTTAAGTAAAAGTATCATGCAGAATTTTCACTAATTTCAGTTTAGGGTGATTAATTAGAAGTACATACGAATCGGATCTTCCTAAAAGTGGTACTGCATATAACAACGATGTGAATGTTAGTGTTTTTTTACAGAAACAGCTCTAATATCTGAAGTATCCCCACTGCAGTAATATGCACCCACTGCATCTTCAGAATTCCAATAAAACTCGGCGAAGTATGAAAGCTGCGCAGAATTGCTCAAAGAAACTACTCGAAGTTCTCAGCTCCAACAGTTAACTTCTTGAGATTCAGATGGAAACCCGCTGAGCTCAGCCGTTTTTGACATTTTGAAAACAAAGTTCGTCAATTATTCTGAGTGGGGAGTATGTGAAAAGCCGTACTTCACATTTGAGTGATATTAAATAACTTTGTAATCCACAGATCGCAACGACTAACAACTATTTTTGTGCTCTGAAAGTAAGCTTACCTAAGCGAATGAAAATCAACTTTGATAGTGAATCTCGTGTTCTGCCTTAAGTATCGCTGTCTACAAAGATTTTCATCTTATCTTGTATTCCTTTTTGATTAATACTTTAAATCTACAGTTGAATATAAAAGATGAATTGAAAAAGAGCATGATTACCAATAATGCAACCAAAGGATTTCTGAATGGTTGATCATTGTAAGAATTTAGAAATATGAATGGAGAATAGATTGTTTTTCGTCCCGGAATCACCAGAGTAGAAAGTAAAAGAAAAGCAGTGAAGAATACAATTAACAGGAATGACATCTAAAAGATCGTTCTATAAACAATTGTTCATTGTTTTATTTTCAAAACCAAATATCCCATCTGTTAAGTAAAAGGTAGAAATTCACAGTTACTAAGAACGTTGATATTTTCCAAGATCCAAGAACAGCTTCTGCTTGTTTCACATAAAGAGATTTTTCTTTTCGGTTACTTTATGTCGCTCGCTTGTTCCAGTTAATTTTCAACTGGCGATTTTCGGTACATCCAATTCGTATTGAAACGGTCCTAATAACAATTATCACTTACACTACTCGTATGTCATTTTAAGAAAGCAACACTTTTGTCAGCAAATATTTCAACGGTTATCAGTCGATTTATTTGCGGAATAAGAAGTCCAAAAAGAACATTAAACTTTTTTATTTCTCATCCAATCGTTGAATCATTTTTAAATCAACATCAATACGGTAATTTTTGTACAGCAAAAATTGCCAGGGACACTAACGGGCAGTCGTGAATGAAACCTGCGAAACGGCAAACCTGCACATGAATCAATTGAGCTTAGCATCTGAAGAAAAATGGCTGAAAACTTGAAAGTCAAAGAAAAATTCAGCAGGCATTGCTTCAGTTCACTGATACCTAACCTCCATTATACCACAAATAACTTACATTTGTTAGAAATTTCAAAAATGAAAAAAATTATTGCGTTATATTATTGCTAAGATTTACTTGTTGAAAACAATACTAAATAAAGTTAAAAGATATCGTATATTAAGCAAAATAATGTCATTTTAAGAAGGAAAACAGCTACAGTAGCTTGCTCATAAATTATTTGTAGTCATTGCTGTTTAAGACTATTAGTAATATGAGAAGTACGACAGAGGAATAAAGTTATAAAATTATCAAAGTTACTAATGAAAAAATGAATAAAATGTAAGCGTCTTGCGGCTGTAAAGTTGCTAATGGAAAAAATTTTTAAGTGCCTTTGATACAGTAAAACGACAGCACTGATAAGTTTGTAGCCAATAAGTAAGCAGCATTAGCGTTAAATGCAATTGTGGACCATCGTTGATGCAAGTAGAACCAACTGTCTAAAGCTGCAAAAAGCAGTTCAGTGGTGAAAATAATGATAGCAGTAGCAGCAACGGTATTGCCCTAATTTTTTCATCTTTTTAGATCGTTATCACCAAATCTGCAACAATAGCAGTTCTATGCGTCATCGTATCGTTCAACAACTAACAGAAGTTGTTGTGTCTGGCCAAAGAATGAATTCTGGAAAGTGAAACAGTTCATAAAACGGCTTTTTAAGATATCAACAAATTTTTTTTTTGTTCCGCCACATTGACAAATGCTATCCACTCAGCGGTCAAACGGTCTGCATTGAGAGGCCAAGGAAGGCACAATAAGAGGCATGAATGACACGTATGTAGCACTATGTAGCACAAAACTGGACATCAATCAACTATACTGACAACTTCCTTCGCCCTTCTTTACACCTTTTCCCAATTGATGGTTGTGAGAAAAAATAGACCCTCATTGTAGTGGGACCCACGGATGTAGAAATCCGTTAACAGTTAAAAGCTACTGATTTTGACATTTTAATACAGATGCAATGTTCATAAACAATATCACTGTGGTACTGAGCAAAGGCTAATGAGGAACACGAAGATGGCGTTTGAAATGATGTCTAATAATCGGATCAACTGGTCACTTTTGACGTTATTGAGCTCAACTGTTTATGACATACGCCTAATCGCGCAAAATTAATCTATAAACAGCTAGAGCAGGAAATCATTACAATCTGAACTTATATGACCATTTTATTTTTGCATTTCACTGACAATAACGGAGGTGACTATCACGGTTTAGAAGCGGTGGTAAAAAATCCATAACGATTAGGGACTTAGATCCTCTTCTGCGCATTCAAAATAATCCCTGTGCATGCTACTTTTATCAAAGAGGCTTAAAAACTTCACAAAAGCCTAAAATTGTTGGCGTTGACTCCCACCTCGGTCAATTTAAAAGATCAATTCTATGCCCGATGAAATAGCGGTAGGTAAATAGATACCTGAATGAGAAAACTTTATGAAACTTAAAATGACTATAAGAATCACTAACAGCTGAAACATTTCTATCCTCTAAGTCCCTTCTCCTCATGCAACAAATTCTTACATTAAACTCTCGCTACAGTCAAAAATATTACGGAGATCCCACTTCATTGATAAACAAGACAAAAAACTTATCAGTAAATTTGAATAATGATCAAACCGAATCAAAAACGAAAAGCTGGAAGTGTTGAAAAATGTAACAGGAAATGCGCCTTATTTTAATCCATGTTAAATTGTGTTAATTCATCCAAGCAGCTTTCACGCCGATTTGCAGAAAAGCGCCTAAAAAAAATCCACCGGTTCCCAATTTTATAAATTCGAATAAAAAATTTAAGTGATCAAACCAAGAGTTATAGATCCCATTGTATGCCGTTTTTTTCTTTCACTGCCCTTTCAAAA